CAGTGGTTCTTCATGTCCGTGATTACTCCTTTGCTTCTTCCTCTGGTCTCACATGACCAAGGTGGGAGGTAATTCAGAATCACATATCTGTCTGAGAAAAATAGACAATTAGCTGTTTCGCTGGCCCCACACCCCCTAAAAATAGTTTCCCTTTTCCCCAAAGGCTTGCAATTGAATTGAACTCTAGTAATAAAATACCTCCAAAGATTGATTATACATTGCAAATATTATAACATTTATAAGAGTAAGTTAATGATAGCTTTTAAAACATTTAATTTATAGACATAATGATTCTGGGTCCTGCCCACCTCAGAATATTTAGTAGTAAATATATATGAATTATGTTTCTCTTTGCGTTTTCTTTAAAGCTAAATGCTTAGAGTGTTGTCTTTGATTATAGATGACCATTAATAAGTAGAAGTAAATTCTGCAGCTCTTACATTTTTATAGCATGTCAAGTCAAGCACAGTCATGTATAATCAAGACATACTGGATTTTAAATAGTTAAAGCCCAGTTTTAAAGTTTATTTTTAAATATTTGTTATTGAACCAGCTAACTAGTGAACAGTGCTGAAGACTGAACCTACAGTAGTTTTTTTTTTTTTTTTTTTTTTTTTTTTTGAGATAAGGTTTTCTCTGTGTAGCCCTGGCTGTCCTGGAACTCGCTTTATAGACCAGGCTGGTCTAGAACACAGAGATCTGTCTGCCTCTGCATCCTGAGTGCTAGGACTAAAGGCATGCGCCACCACCTCCTGCTGAACCTATGGTCTTACATGTGGTGGGCAGACAGTTTACTATAGAATTATATTCCCATCTTTAGTAATTATCTTTAGAGATAATTACTGTTGTTGTAGTTATTTAATCTTTTGACCTATAATGTATGTGATATATACCTTGATATGTAAAGAATATCAAGTAAAATCTCATACCCACTAGTTATCTTTGCTTTCGTTCTTATAACTCAGTAGCCAACATTTTCTACAGTGAATCAGCAGACGTGTAATGTTTTTATTCCTATCTATAGAGTTTTGCCGTTAAGATAGAAGCCCAAGAAAAAGCATAAGTACTTTCACCAAGGGTACATACTCTTTCTAAACCGTTCCTTGAACTGAATTCACTGGAATTCTAATGTGGGCTTAGAACATGCTTATCCTTTGAATTCATGTGTAGACTTTGTAGATTTTATCCATAGGTCATTTTCTTCTCCAGTGCCTTCCTCCTTCCCATAATATTCGTAAGAAATAGTGTAATTCTGATACTAGCACACCAAAACACTCAAAAAGGATCAAAGCCAAACAAGGTTCTGTAAAAATTGGGGGGGGGGGAGGTAACACAATATATTCATATATTTATTAGTATTGATTATTTCTCCATTTGGGCAAGAATGTGTGTGTGTGTGTGTGTGTGTGTGTGTGTGTGTGTGTGTGTGTGTGTAAACATAAATGATTCCATGTATTTTAAAACTTACTTTTCTAAGCAGAGGTGGGGGATGAATCATCTATTATTTAATTCAGAGAGATTCCTGGGTTCTAATATCATTTGTTGCTCCTTGCAGTGTAGTCTGCAGTGTTTAGAAGGTTTCTCAGTGTTGATCACTTTGCCAGTTCAGGCCATGGAAGATGACTTGTTCCCTGTCATTCAAGTTCATGTCTACTTAAAATACTTGGATTTCTGTGGCAAACTGAACCCTACGTTTCTCCTATAGAGTTTTGGCCCCTGCAACTGAGAGCCCTTGCTTATGACAGCACATCCTGCCCCTCCCCAAGCAGGCCCAGGTATAACTGAAAATTCCTACTGAGGATGGAGTCCTAGCAGGCACACTACAAGAAAACACACACAAGAAGACCAGCCGCTCTGATAGTCTAAATCGTCAGCACGAACAGTAGAAATGGATGATAAGTAGCCAGTTTGATCTGTACCTGAAATTTCCTGGGGGAGATTCAATAGTAATATATTGGGGAGAACTTAAATTTGAGGCCTTGTAGTTTAGTTGTTTGGAAGGTATCTTCTGATACATTTCCATAAAGAACCCACAGCTGTCTTTCCACAGAGAGTACATGGGAGAAGGTCCCAGGAATCAAATGGACAGATATGTGAATTAGGAACTCTGAATCTCTCTGAGATACATTTGTAGACCTAGTAGTTGTGATAGCATTATGTATCCTTACAGCTTCCTGTGAAATGAGAGTTGTGAGAACAAGCATGCCAATAATTGTCCATGTGAGGAAAATGGGAAATCATGTATGTAAGGCCACTTTACAGTGGTTTTTTAGCCTTTCAAAAGAATCTTTAGGGAGAAAATACTTGCTTTTTCCCCTTCTTCTTTTTGTTACTTTCCTCTAAGTGATTGGTTCCCAGATTGTTGTGACAATAGGGACAGATAAAATCCTCACTCGTACACAGCTTGGACATCAGCCTGATTGCCCAGTCCCTGATTAGAGCAGCTTTCCCTCTTTCTGGGGAAGTCTTTCCAGCTCTTCTAAGAGGACCCTCATTCCCACTGCCCTCAGTGCTTGTCCTCCAGCATTTAAATGTGAGCCTTCACCGGGGCTCTCTCCTGGGGGCCTTTTTAAACCTGCACTGCCTCCCATGGCGTGGCCTCCTTCCTCTTTATATCCTTTGCCCTCCTTTGTCCTGTCCCCAAGGTATTCCAGATTCACTATATTTAAAACTGAACTCCCAAATTTTGAGCCTTCTCTATGTCAGTGAATTGTCCCATATTCTGTATAGTAGTTTAATCTAGAAACCAATACCGGCCCACATCCCATGATTCCTTACATGTTTACATCTTCACCAAGTCTGCTTGCATCCATGTTTTCTTTTCCAGATGGTTTGTGTAAAGAGATAATAATGCATAACTTCTTTTAAAAAGCCTCATCATCAACATGAAATTAGTGTGTTCATTATTTTCATTCAACAATATTTTTAGATTAGTTGTACTCCATTGTAATACATGGAGACTGTCCCCATTCATTTTTATGGCTGCATAATTAATATTTCATGGTAAGAATGTTGCAGTTGATGCATATCAGGATGAAGAGTATGCCATTCTTCTACTTCAGGTAATGTCTTCATGAGTTCCTGTTCATTGTCCCAAGGGAAGAGACACTGAGCTTTTCAGCTGCAAAGCCTGAGAACCTTTCTTCTCCAGGAGTGTCTTGTGCTGCTCTGCCCTGGCCCTCTGCTCTCGGGCTGAGTGGACTTCCATTTCTATGAACCGTGCTTCTTTCTGCCTAAGGCCTCTGCCCACGTTCTTTTTTTAGCCCACATGTGACCCATCCCTCTTTTCCCTGCCTTTAGCGGACTTCTAATTAGCTTCTAATCTGCTTAAGGCAGATCTCAGCTCATTGCCATTTCCTGAATGTATTTTATCCTAGCAATCCCTGGCTAACTCAGAGTTCTGGTAAGTCTCCCAATCTCTGACTTTAAGGAACTGTCACCATTCAGCACTGCACATACACACGTGCACATACATGTACATATCACACATTTGCATTATTATTATTGCTCTGCTTTTTCTCTTACTCAGAACCATGCTTTCCAAATAGTATGTTGCAATTCCACTATGGTATAGTATTAGTGTAAAGAATTACAACAAGCCATTTTAAAAATGAAATAGAATAGTAAATACCAGGGCATTTCATTTATGCCAGGGGTGTTTTTTTCCAGGCAGACTTTCCAATTTAATATATAGCTGTGGTCATATAAGTACATAAACACACAAGCATACTGGGCACAGTATAAGTGGTATTATGTAGGTACTAGATAAAAATAGGTTTTAAATTAGTTAAGAACAGGAATTTTGTGTTTTGAGTTCCATTATATCTCCATGTCTTGCCAAGAAGCAGGCTGGCAGAGTTGCCACTGTGGATATACTGACTGAAAGAATAAACGGCACTTTTTAGGATTTATCTTATTGTGGCCCTCTACTAGGGTCAAGCGGACCCAGTTTCTAGGGAGACATTAGTGATGATCTCCTTGACCAGCTGATTTTGCATTCGATTATTAAATGACAAGTGACAGAATCATCTAAAGGCTCATAATGATACGAGACATCAGAAGTGGAATGTTCTCACATTTAAAACCTATTTCGTATAGATCTTAGACCTCAAAATGCCATTATTTTATTTTCTTAACAAATAATGAAGCTTAATTTTTTTCCTCAAGTATCTGGATCACTTAAATTTCTAAGGTCGCCTTCGTTCACTCGGTTTATTACATAGCTGTTGTCTTTTCTGTGTACTTCAGCAATAAAATATTTATGCAGTTGGCAAGGTAACACTACAACCTGAGTTAGTACAACAGCTGCACTGCCTGCTCCCATGTGTCTTGATTTCCCTTTTTAATCTCTCCTTTTCTGCACTAAAGGCTCACGTCAGCATGCCGTTTTTACAGTAGCAGATAATGGTGAAGCTTCTTGAGTTAACATACTGGGCTGAAGTGACTTGCTCTGTATTTTCTGGGTGTCTTTGAGAAATATTTTTCTAGTATGTTCTACATAGATTTTCCTACATCATGCATTTACAGTAAGATACCTTTAATTCTTTTTTGTTTGGTTTTTGTTTTTTGAGACAGGTTTTTTTTTTTTCCTGTATAGCCCTGGCTGTCCAGGAACTAGATCTGTAGATCAGGCTGGACTTGAACTCAGACATCCACCTGCCTCTGCCTCCCATGTGCTGGGATTAAAGGCATGTACCACTTCCACCCTGTGACTCTTTAATTCTTTAGAAAACTTGTAAAGTTCTCTTAGAAACAAGAGCCTCTACGTTTATAAAATGGAAATATTTGAGTTTTACAGTAATCTGCATTTGACTAAGTACAGACAAGGAAAGTCTTGGAAATCAGAGGTGACTTGCATTTCTTTTAGTCATAAATTGGCATGCATAATCGAAACTGAGCCGAACTTTAAGTGTCTAGGCACCGGAATCTGAATTCTTTTCGAATTTGCTGTTAGCACCTCTGAGCCCAATTAATGCAGCCCATGTCCCTTTGCTTTGCAGGTGCTCCTGATCCCACGGCAGGTGCTAGCATCGACGACGAGAACTGTTGGCACTTGGATGAGGAGCAGGTGCAGGAGCAGGTTAAACTGTTCCTTTCCCAGGGCGGCTACCACGGCTCAGGGAAGCAACTCAACTTACTCTTTGCAAAGGTACGGTTGCCTGTTTCAGAGAAGGATTCCAAGTATAGGAGTGTATGTAGTAACTGTCTAAGATCCTGTATGGAATAAAATGGAGATTTTAAGCCAATGAGCCAGTGAGAAACCTGTATATAATACAAGCTTTAACTTGTGTAAGTAACCTTCTGTACCAAGTTGGGGGCATTTTTGTCTCTCTTAGTTACTATAAAATGATGATAATTTGTTTTGGTTTTTAAAAACTTTCCCTGGGGTGGTGGTGGCACTTGTCTTTAATCCTGGCACTTGGGAGGAAGAGGCAGGCAGATCTCTGAGTTTGAGGTCACCCTGGACTACAGAGCAAGTTCCAGGACGGCCATGGCTGTTACAGAGAAAAATCTTGTCTCCAAAACAAACAAACCCAAAACCTTCAATAGTAAAAACAGAGTAAATTCTTTAGTGTTAACTTGACATCCTTCCAAGTGTTTCTTTTTTCTAGGTAATTTTCCCAGGTGGAGCATAATTTTAAACTTAACATTTCTTTAACACATATACCTTAAAAATTCCAATGATACTTAACATTAGTTTCAAAAGTGTGAGTTAGTTTCATAGACTTCAAAGTTCTACTCTGTCTAAGTGTATGGACTAAAAACTTTGGGAAATTGTCAGTTTTCTTATCTGTACAACTAAAAGTGACTTCTCTTCCCATTGTTTTGATAATAGTACTAAATAATGGTGTCGTGTTTATTCAGCTACTAAAAATTGATGACCTAAGAAATACCTTGTATCCTTAACACAAGTTTTTGTGATCAGAAGCTTTGCAAAGCATTTGGTGTACCGTAAAATAATTTCTAAATACTGGATAAAGTGCTTTTTTGAAACTAATACTAGGGTAGTGAGATGAATTGGTGGGTAAAATGCTCCCTGTACAAACAAGCATGTGAGCCTGAGTTAAGAGTCCCCAGAGCCCACAGAAAGCTGGGTGAGGAGATGGCATGCCTGTTTCCTGAGCCTTAGGGGGGGTGGAGTCAAGTCAACCCAGCCAGTTGGGGAGCTCCGGGTTTGGTTGTGGACTTTGTCTTGGGGGAGGGGGAGAGAAGGAAGGAGGGAAAGAGAGATCTGCAAAGTCATAGAGGAGAACGCACTATTATCAGCCTCTTGCGGTTGATATATTGTGCACCCCAATAAACTTATCAGGGGGTCAGAGAACAGAACAGCAACTATATTAAACATAGGGTTAGGCAGTGGTAGCACATGCCTTTAATCCTAGCATTCCAGAGGCAGACATCCATTGGATCTCTGTGAGTTCAAGGCCACACTGGAAACAGCTAGGCAAGGTGGCACACACCTTTAATCCCAGTACTTGAGATCTCAATTCTTGCTTGGGAAAGACACACGCCTTTAATCCAAGGAAGTGATGGCAGGAAGCAGAATATAAGGCATGAGGTCCAGGAACTAGAGGCTTTTAAGCTTTTAGGCTTTTAGCAGCAGTTCAGCTGAGATCAGTTTGGATGGGGACTCAGAGGCTTCCAGTTTGAGGAAACAGGATCAGCTGAGAAGTTGGTGAGGTGAGGTAGCTTTGGCTTGTTCTGCTTCTCTGATCTTTCAGAATTCACCCCAACATCTGGCTTTGGGTCTTTCGTTTATTAATAAGAGTGTTTAGCAATTTGTGTTACAGCCTCTGGCCTCTACTCTTATGAACAAACATGTGCTTGATAACCTACACATGAACGCATAGGCCCTGCCTTTCACCCTCAGACCGTAATGTCAAACCATTATACTTCCTTTGAAGATATAGTCATTATTGTAGGTAATGTGTTAAAAATATTTTTAAAGGAACAATTGGCTTTATGAATTGATGCTTTTGTTAAACAGCTGCTCTAGTATTCATAAAAATTAAAAAGTGATGAGTTTATATTTTGTCTTCATTTATTTTTAATTCAGAAAGTTTCACATGAATTCTGTTATTGAATATGGCCAGAGACTAATGTATTCTGTTAAAAAGATTTATGGGCATAATGTAGATTATCAGATTTACAAAAGTTTGTTTATAATGTTATGCATTTAAATCTATAGAGACTTCACACATGATTTAATTATTTCTTGGTACACAGATACTTCAGATTTGTCATTCTTTAGAGTTAATATTCTGAAAATGTATTAACTCTGGACAATAGATGTACTTAAGTTTGATTACTATATAGTTTGGGTTAATATGCTTAATAGTTAAGCATTTATTTCATTATTGTTTCTGAGTACTAGCTTAGAAATGAATCAGTAAAATAAACCAATCAAATCTACTAGATTTTCAGACACAGGAAGCATTTCACATGTTCCATGTCCATAGAGCACATTGTGACCAAGTGGAAACGATGTAAAATGTGTATTTTAAGCCAGTCTGAAATTGTTACTTGTGTCCCTGTGTGTTATATATGTATTCCATATGCATATGAAGTAATAGCAGCATCTAATTTTTGGAAATGTATAAATGTATAGCACTTTTAGCCTTAAGGCAAATGTGGGTTCTGATTCCAGCTGTTATTTTTTTTCACTGGGCAGTTGCTTAATTTCTCAAGGCTTGTTTTTAGAATTCCTGAAATGAGGCTTATAATCTGTCTAGTCTACGTGTTGTTTGGAAATGCATTGGTGGGCATAGATGTATGTCAGACTCTTGACCACAGTGTCCAGCAAATGACAGCTCCCTTCCTTTCTGACATCACCTGTTCCTGACTTTCTGGTGCTTTCATATTTGGGTTCAGGGGGAAAGTGCCTGTAGGTTCTTTATACAAGGCTCAAATGCTTAAGGGCCTGGGGGACTTCAGTGCTCATCTTGGCCCAAGCCTGAGGTGGAGGATGTGTGCTCTTGGAATGCTGCATTGCAGATGAGCCTTTTTTTTTCTTTCTTTTTTTTCTTTTTTTTTTTTTCATGACTTGCCTTTCATGTCAAATCCTGAAAAAAGAATCTCCCTCCTCACCTCCAGGACACTGTCGGAATAATCTATCACGGGACAACTGTTGTTAAGTTAGAGTTCTCATTTGTGAACTATGTAATAAGCATCATACACTTTGAGGGTGTATGTGTTCATTTATGGTTTCCTGTAGAGAGATTAACCCTGGTGTTTTTCTTTTCTAATTTGGGAAGTGCAGCACAGAGAAATGAACAGTTCATGATTCCAGCTTGAAAGTCCAAGTTCAGTTATTAAGTCAGAATTGGTTTTTGTTGTTTGTTTTGGTGCTTTGTGGAGCGTTCATACAGAGTGAACATTCTTAAACCTCCAAGCTCTGTCCAATTCTTCTTATCACTGCAAAGCCTACTTGTGAAAGTGCACAGCCCTTTGTGTCTACAGGTTCTGCACTGACAGAGAAACCATCCATGGACTGAAAATGTAGTTCAGTCTATGAAGATGTTTCCATTTGTATTGAACACGGACAGGCTTTCCCTTCTTATCACCCTTAGGTGATAACATGCCAACAAGTATTAACACACTGTTTTGTGTATTAACAACATTGTTTGGTGTTCTGTTGTATCATAAGTTAATGTAGAGGTGCTTTGAAGTGTTCGTGTAGGGTACATAGAACTATTATAAGTTTGGGCAACTGGGGTTCTGGAAGTCATGGATCCTTGGAGATGACTGTATGCTACTGCTCTTATGTTAAATAATTCAGCAAGAAAGAACATGCCCAAATTACTAATATATATTTTTTAAAAAAAAGTAAAGTTCTTGCACAATTTTGTGAATACAGATAGGAAATGTTGAATTACAGTTATAACTGATGACTTGTAAACTATTACACAACAGATCGATTTATAAGATTCCTAAACCATTTTTCAGTGGATTTTCTTGGATTCTGCTACTCTGGTGGTGAACACAGTCAACATGCCAAACTGTGTGTGTGTGTGTGTGTGTGTGTGTGTGTGTGTGTGTGTGTGTGTGTAGCTTCCATATCCAGGAGAGGAGTGCCATCACTCACATCCCTGTGACGGAGCAACACTTGGCTAACTCAGTTCTCAGATGCCTCTTTCTGTGCACTTCTGGGGTTTGTTGAAGCATGAATTAGCTAGTCATTTATTTTGTTGATTATAGTCTGACCACAAAGTAGATCTGGTTTAGATAACAGGCATTCTTTGAGGGAAATATTCCAAACTTACTTCAGGTGTGCTGTCACATGCCTGTAATCTCAGCAGTCAAGAGGCTGAGGCAGGAGGATCATGAGTTAGAGGTCAGATTGAACTATAGAAAGACCCTATCTTATAAGACCACACACACACACACACACAGAGTGCATTTTTACTCTACATGTGAAACATGGCATAATTGTCTTAATGAAATGCATAAAACTCACCAAAACATTTGATATTGAAAAGTTGAGAAAACTTTATTATTGTATGTGGCTTCTAAAGCAAAGCTTATGATAAATGATGGTGCTTTTTTCTCATTACATTGCAGTGTATGGTGCAGAATAGTTTTTCGTACTTTTGTATGCTTTAGAGGACTGGTGTGAAGGCTTCTCTCTCATACACACATACAAACACACCCCAGAAATAAAAGTGAGTTGTTTGTCTCTTGTGTTGCTGTTACTTATTTACTTATAAATTTTAACATTTTCACTTTGTTTGCCCCACTAGGTGCGGGAGATGTTGAAGATGAGAGACTCCAATGGGGCCCGTATGTTGACCTTGATCACCGAGCAGTTCATGGCTGACCCTCGCCTGTCACTTTGGCGGCAGCAAGGCACGGCGATGACTGACAAATACAGGCAGCTCTGGGATGAGCTTGGTAAATGAATTTCCCGTCACACTACACTGAGCTAGCCGTGTGGAGATAGACAACAGTGGGCTCTTTAAGAACGTGGTCCTGGTGATGCAGGAGAGAGCTGCTGCATGCAAGCCTGTGTCAGTGTGCTTTGGGCAGATGAGTGGGAAGAGCAGCCGTGGCAGAACCTGGGGAGTGTCTGCTCCTGGGTGAAGCCAGTGCAGGAATCTCCCTTTAAGTGCTTGGTGAAAGATTCTGTGTTTTCAGAACAAATCGTTTATGTTATAGGACCAGTTCCTATTTCACCTCAGTTTTTGAGTCTGCCTTGCTTTTTTTCTGTAGCTAGAGTTTTCCGGCCTGGCCCACGGTCAGGACAAATCTCTCACCCGCCAGTCCCACAGCCGCTCAGACCCAATCAAGTAAACACCCAGAGACTTATATTGCTTACAAACTGTATGGCCATGGCAGGCTTCTTGCTAACTGTTCTTACATCTTAAATTAATTCATTTTTATAAATCTATACCTTGCCACGTGGCTCATGGCTTACCTGCATCTTCACATGCTGCTTGTCACGGCTGCATCTGGCAGTCTCTTTCTGCCTCCCTGTTCTCTCAATTCTCCTCTCTGTTAGTCCCGCCTATACTTCCTGCCTGGCCACTGGCCAATCAGTGTTTTGTTTATTGACCAATCAGAGCCATTTGACATATAGACCATCCCACAGCATTTTTCCCTCATTAGAATTCTCAAAAGTGATTTGAATACTCTGCATTTTCATCCGATACAGACCTTGTTCTTTGGAATTGTTCTTGAGAATCGAAAAGATACGGCAAACTCTAAAATTTATTGCCCAAAATTTCTGGTGATTAAAGTTGTAAATATAACAGGTACCTGAAAAAAAAAAAAAGAGATTTTCTTGTCATGATCAGCATGAAAATACTGGGAATGAGTCTCCTTACCCAATGCTCAGTTCTAAGAAATAAAACTTGATAATATATTTGTTACCTGTCTTTCTGTTAAGAAATCTATAGGGTGACAAACACGTATCACTGTCTGTTAGTTTAAAAAGAAGAAAATGCTTGCTGCATATGTACTGCCGTGAGATTCCTGATGAGTGATGATGCACCACCACATGGTGTGTTGTGATCCCAGGCCTAGACTAGCTCAAGAGGAACATTGTCTCGGAAGTTCCTCCATGACCATAATGGAAGGCACTTTTGAGATGAACTATTTGGAGATAAGGAAACTGAGTTCCAGGGAGCAGATTTCTATAAGTTGGTGAGATGGACAATTAGGATTATACAATAAGCTACTAAAAATTGATGTCAGTATTCTTGCTTGCTTGTTCAGGGACTTGATTGTAGGTAGAAACTCTGGTTGGTTTGTTTCTATAGTAGTACATCTGCTACATGCCAACTATTAGGGTGTTTCTATTAATATTTTTCTCTAGTATTTTTTAAAAATAGTATCTTGTATCTGGTACTTTTCTTGGGTCTCTCGAAATATTGTATAGCTTTTTCCCAGGCAAATTTAAATCAATCTTTAAAAACAGTAAATAGCTTCCATGTGTTAGTCTGAGGGCATGGTGTGGTACTGAAGAACACAGGGTAATACATGATTTACATAAATATTACGGAAAACTGAGTGATTTAGTTTTCCAAATAGCCTTTTAAGCTTGTGACGTCGTGAATTCACTAGTCTGTTTATAAAGGTTAAAAAACACTAGCATTAAAAACCAATAATAGGGTGCTGGAGAGATGGCTCAGTGGTTAAGAGCACTGACTGTTTTCTAGAGGACCCAGGTTTAATTCCCAGCACCCACATGGCAGCTAACAACTGTCTGTAACTCTAAGATCTGGCACCCTCACACAAACATACATGTAGGGTGAACACCAATGCACATAAAGTAAAAAAGTTTAAAAAAATAATAATGGAGGGAATCATGCTGGGGGAAAAAATATTGGGTTACAATTAAATGTATAAAATATTAAGTTGTGGTGCTTAGAAATGTGAAAGTACTATTTTTACTCGTTAGAAAATGCCACTTGGATAATTTGGTGACCAAAAAAGAAAGAATACAAGGGATAAAATGTGAACAAACTTAACAGTGTTCACATTAATTTGTAGTCAGATCTCACCTTTCCAGGTTGGCTTTGAAAACTGTGTGTCAAGACCTTCAGTCAGAGCCAGGAGGTCTCATTGGTGGAAGATCTTGGCAGCTGATTCTAGTTATATTCTCAAACAGGATTACTTTATTAAGAGTCAGGTTTTATTCAAGTTGTTTGATTTCAGACAGGGATCAAGAACACACACACACACTCTCACACATCTACAGGTACACACACTGTCCCACCTCCTCCCCCCAGCACCGCCCCCCGCTTTCTTTCTTCCGCTGCCCCACCTTGAAATCATTACTAGACTAGTGAACAAGCCTGTGCACTCTGGTGCCAAGTGGAGCTCACTTGCCGTTGAATGGGAATCTAAGATTTGTGAGGAATCCCCTATAGAAGTCATAGTAGATACCACATCTTGATATTTGTTCACCAAAAAATTAACTTAAAGTTCCTTCTATTCTACAAAAGGAAAGGCTTTTGCTTCTTAATAAAATGGGGGAATTTGACTTTGTGCCCCTACACAGGGCTCACATTGCTTCAAGGCTGTGCTCTGGAATTAAATGCTGAGCACTGCCAGATGCCAGACATTGAGAAGAGGCTGAGTTTTGTGGGCAAATGGGATCTGCAAGTTAATTGGTGTTTTCTGCAGGCTTCTGGCTGTGAAATGAAATTGGAAGCCCTTTAGCCACATGGATAATACAGGACCTGAATACAAATGTCACATGTCACCATCAGGACCCACTGTGAGACAATAGTGTTCCCACTCCAACATTGCACCATTACAGATCATTTAAATATGGGGATTACATTTACACTAAAAGCCCCATTTGCCTTTTACTGCAATTTAAATGTCCTCTTAGCAAAAGCTAAGTGACAAATTAAATGAAAAAAGTGCCCACATTTTTAAAGCTGTAATGCAAAACAACCTTTTATTGCTTCTCATGTGCCACGAATGAATCATTATACTTGTCAACCCTAAACCAAGCCATAATTGGAGCAGCTACTGTTATCAAAGTGGGGCCGCTCCGTGACAGCTTAATAAAGCCGAAACTGTTAAATTAAATCCCAGATGCTTAACTCCTTAGCACCAGTGGCTTCGATGGGTCCATCCCTGGCAGTGGCCAATACACCAGGAGAGGAAAAGAGATTGCTGGCATGAAAGCTTCCCTGTGATAAGTGTACAAGTATCATAGCCAACTAACTCTGCGTCTTGGCAAAGGACCTGGAGCCATCAGATTGTCAGCCAGAAAATGACAGAATCGTTTTCCTAGGACCAGATAGGGCCCCCCCCCCAAGATTTGTAACTTTCTGGTTATATGTGATTTATGAAATTTCACACTGTTGATGCTTCAGAAATAGTTTAAAATAGCACATTCATTTTCTAAACTCTTCCTTGTTACATAAATCTGTGCAAAGTTGTTTTGGGCAGTCCATTTCTTCCCCCATTCTCCTGCTAACAAAGCGGCTAGTTTTTCCCAGGCCTTCCCAATCTGAGTGCCTGTGATACTCGTGTGGGCTGAGTTAATTTTTGTGATTTACTCCCTGATGTTCATAATGTAGGATGAAATAGATACAGATGCATTCTATTAAGACCTTGCTTATTGCACTTCATTTGCAGATGCATTTATCTTGTGCATGAATCAGTTTTTTTCAGATAATAATTTTACTCTCTGTGTGTGATGTTCATTTTCCCAAACACATGGCAGTGCTCTGAAGATGAGTAATTTTGAATCATAATCAGCTATGGGGAAAAGTGTATGACAGTAAGACAGAAAAGCAAGCCCCATGGCAGTGGTAGAGAAGGCCACATGTTTGATCAGGGCCGTGAGTTTGGTAGTCAGTCAAACACATGCTTCCGCTCTTACCGTCATTATTAGTGACGCACACGTTTTTCTGGGAAGCAGATCCCAGAAAGACTTGTGGACTGAAAGAACAACCCAGGGCTGACTTGTGGCAAGCACACCTACTGTTATCCCTAATGGCTGCCTGTCCACCACAATTACTATGCAAGACTTTAGGGATGAAGGAGTATAGTGTAACCTCTCACAGGCTTTGGTGGGTCTCTTTCCTTAAATGTTTTATAAGACTGTAATTTTACTTTGCATCATAAAGCTGTAGGTTGTGGCTGCCAGTCTATTAACACCTAATTAAAATGGATGTCATTAGAGGAAACAGTTAAATGCAATTTAATTACAGCTTTTGTCACATGGAAAATTCTTAACTTTTCAAGTGTTGTATACCTTTCCCCCCACGTTTCAAACACTTAGTTTTCTCTTGGAGGAAAACCATGAGCTTTGCTGTCTAGTGTGTGAACCCTTCTCACAGGAAGAAGAGGAGCTGTAAGGGCAGAACAAACCCATACTGAGTTTGTTCACGTATTTCTTGAGAACAAGGTGGTGGCTCTTGTAATTCTTTTCACATCTTTTCACCTGGGGACTGACTTTGTGTGAGCAGGAGCTGGCAGAGTTAAGCATTTCTTTCTAATTCTAATTTCATTTGAAGAATAGGCAACAACTATTATGTTCCAGGGTCAGGTGTGAGGCTGAGTGGTAGTACATACACCCAGGGCACTTGGAATCAAGGTAAATTTTCAGTCACCAGTAGAGGACTCACCCCACCAGCTGGAGCCCCATTTATAGAAAAAGACTAAAAATGACCTGCTCCCTGGACCCAGAATACTTTCTCATCTGCATCCCAGATGCAAATAGCAATTCTTTTGCACCTACTCTGTTATTTTTGAAGTCACACATTCAGAATAATCCTCTTAATTTAAGATGACTGTTCACAGCCAGAAATGAAAATCTGAATGTTCTGTTCTGGGGAATGCCATCTTACATCTCTGAACACAACAGGCTTAATAACTGCCACCCTTTGTTTCTATGGCAAATTTATATACTTTGGCTTGACATACAT